GGTTTGTTCGAAGTTGTTGGTTCGGTTCCCCTCCATGCTCGGAATTTTTGCATTTTTCCGATTATCACTTTTTTGCATTTGCATGTGCTTGCGCGTGAACTTAAAGCCTATAGGTGTCATTTCCAAGAACTTTCTCCCACAATTCTGCGATATTTCGTAGTACCATGTTTTTTCAGTTGTGTACGAAATTCCGTTTACAAGCAATAAATAACTAGCAGTTATGGTAAAACTCAATGAAGCATCTGAATCACAGGCGCGGATCACACCAACTGCATCTAACGAACGCCAGAAAAGTGAAGTTGTCATTTTCTTCGCAAGGAACACCTACTCCATTTCCCTTGAAGGCAGATTGCCGGCGTTGAGGAACGTCCAGGATGCTCGTCGACGTAGCCAGTGCCCACCCAGGCATACGCCATGCATCGACGAGATCAAGGGGTGATGCCAGATTGCCCCATGGGCAGGAACTGCGGTGGAAGTGTAACTATCAACCAAACGTGCCGCTTGCTATCATCTCGAAGCTGTCTCCAAGTGGGAAGCGTGCATGCCGTACTGACTATGGGCTTACCCATGGCCCAATTTTTGAATTCGGGCCGAAATCTTGATCTTCTCTAAAACTGCGGCTATAAGGGTAATTATAGGCGCTGATTACGAATCTGACGTCCATTTTTGATGGAGGCGCGATATTGCGCCATTTTAGCCTCCTCGGGCACCAACTCGGCGCCGCTTTAGCGCCATACAATTTTCGCCCCAATTCTGGGCAGAAAGCTAATCAGAAAGGTTGATGATGACCCTGATTGTAAGAACAGTACCTATTTTTATCGGCGGTAACATTTGGAGTCATTTAACATGCGCTAACATGAAATGCAAAATTTTGTCATCATCCCTCGACCGATTTTTCATACCTTTTTTGGCATTAGGAGGGCCGCTCAGAAAAAATGGAGCCTAGTTTTGTACTCCATGCATGTGCCCCTTTATCATGCAAAAAACCGTTTTCAAAAAGGGCTCCATGTCCTGAAAGACCTTCCTGGTAAGACATTTGAAACACTGAATATGAAACAAGTGGAATCATGAGCAGTCGTCATTCAGCCATCACTATCAAGCAGAAGTGGCGGCAGGATTGGAGAACACCTTGCAGTATTGATCGGGCACTTGTGATTTCCGTGACCCGTCGCGTGAATCGCGAAAATCAGCGAAACCTGCGACGGATCGCGGACTCTGACACCAGCCTAAGCAGAATGGTGAAGACACTGCTCGCTATCGAGCGAGTAATAGACAGTTATAGCCGCGCCTGTCGTCACCGCTCTCTCCTTGTGATTTCGTAGGACATGAAGGACAGCTCGTATTTTGCCCAAACAAAGAGGCCAGAACTGTTTTGAATTTCATCTAGCAGCATTACTTGATCAGTGGACAATCAACAAAGTTTGATTCAATTTGACAATATGTCCCTTTAATGTAAGTGACGAATGCGTGAGGTATCCACGTTTAGAGAATCCTCTGTTGTTACAACTTAGGCTCAGTCTTTTGGTGTTGTACAATTATACTTCTTTTTCAAAATACTAGCTACGACTGTCGATTTTGTTTTTTGAAGTGATAAGTCCCACGAGTTTCGTTTGAGGCAGATTACATTTATTTACTTGAGTGGGACTATCAGTATCTGAAACCAGAACCGTTTTGGTCAATTAAATAGAGGCGCTGAAAGAACCTGGGGCGGTATTCAATCCTTCCCCCAGGGGGATATATCCCCCTACTCTGATTCAATCCTCTGGGGGACAAAAAAGGGTTGCGTCATAGGACCTAGCATACCTCTGTGTTTCTACCTGCCAGACAGTTAGAGCAGCGCGACCCCTCAGGGAAAAGAGTGCTTCATCAGTGGAGGGTAGTCGCGCTGCTCTAACTGTCTGGCAGGTAGAAACACAGAGGTATGCTAGGTCCTATGACGCAACCCTTTTTTGTCCCCCCAGAGGATTGAATCAGAGTAGGGGGAAGGATTGAATACCGCCCCTGGATGTTGTACTTTTTGAAGAGTGGTAGTGGAAGATTTCATGAATTATTGAAAAATGCTGTGGCTCTGTGGGATATGTGACGTGTATCCAATACCTGGGAAAGGTTACCATCACATTGCATAGATATCGCATTACGTTTGTGCCATCGTTTGTAATATCCACTGCACACTGTCTCAATTCTTCAGCTCTCTCAACGTTGGCTGTGATAATGGGAGTCTTATATAGAGGGTAAGGGATGTTATATTGACTGAACGTTTCATTATACTTTCGTTAATGTCTTTTCATATGAATAGACCACATTCCAATGAAGGCTAGTGCATTTCACGCCACCGGCAGTCCTCATATGGTCGCCTTTGTCTGGCGGGAAACAGTCAATTCATGTTTTTCCATCTCTCCGAAACAGACATGAGAACAATGAGTTTGGATTTTGGACGCATTTTCAGTTGGAAATTCAAGAGCAAATTAGGTGTTCCCGTGCAGGGCGCGCTCTTCTCGCTGTTTCTCTCTTTTTTTTTATATTTCCATCAACTCACTGCATTAGGTTTCTTATGAAATTGCTATTTTTTGGTCATTCTATGTAATTAATTAGCCTTATAAGGGGCACCGTTGTCTAAAAATGAGTCTCGAACAAACTAGGACGTTCAATGATTGGTACACATCGCCATGAAATATTGCAGTGCAAATTTGACAGACTGGTTGATCACTAAGAAATCGCAGGCACAGATCTCTAGTGCGTTATCTGATTGCTATTTTCTGTAATCGATAGTTTTTCAATGGCATAATGTTCAGAGAATTATGACACCAGATTCTTCCTATTAGACACTTCATTTTGTTCATCGATTTCATGTTTGGAGCTGTTACGAATGAATTATAGTTTTACCGCTTTTATTTTATATATGCAACGGTCTGCTGACTTGATATCACTGCATTTTTTTGGTGCCCATACACTATTCCATGTCTAGTGGCTTCCAACACAACCTGTTCTCTTATAGTGAATAAGCCGCCAAATGAGGTCTGTCAATCCCTATACCGAATAACAATCGATAAAAAAAAAGAGGAAACCTTGAACGAGGCCGTAATTTCCATGTTTTGCTGCCGATTGCTATCGTTCGCGTTTCGTTTATGACACGAGTATTGTACTTGCACAAATGTGAGCGGGGTAGAAACGAAAGGACTGTGAAATGAAATAGTTTTTTGCGCTAGGCTCACCATATGTCCTCGATTTGCTTCTAATCAAATACGTACTTGCTCCTTTGGAAGATTGGGACGGTAAATGATAGGATATTAGCAGAATGTCAGGATATTCAGCGGAAAATATTAGACACGTATTTGGTCAGAAGAAGCAAGTCAAGGGCATCTGATGAGCCCAACGTAAAAATTATTTCATTTTGTCGTTTCACTTCTACGGTGCGTTGCAGTTCTCCCCTTCAGGTTTGGTCACCTGAAATTGAGACACCAGTCATTTGCTCGAAGCAAGCTTAGGACTAAGCCTAGGCCCAATCATAGGCTTAAGCATAAGCCAATGTGTAAGCATAAGCCTAAACCTAAGCTAAACCCAAGCTTAACCTTAGCTTCAATGATCGCGCAGTTCTGGTGACCTGACGCCATGAACTGAACGTCTATCAAATTGTACAAGCCTCCGTGTTTTTATCGGTCTATTGTTAATTATTGCGATCCCTTTTGGAGATTCTCAAAAACGAGTCCTTTTGGTAAATTACCGACGAACCCTTGACCCTGCTCCAGGCGCTCTAGATCGTTTGCTGACGTGTTGAGCACGTCTTACATGCCAGTGCTGGATTTTTTTTGTTGAACTTGTCAACACATCAGTTGTTGAATGATAAGGAGAACTCTTTTATCGCCGTCCGATTGGATGAATCCATAATCGGATTTACATTTCAGAGGCGGTTCAGACGGTCCAGGCATGCGTAATTTACCACTGTTCGGGTTCTTGGCTGGCCTGGTTTTCTTCTTCTATCTATTCTATCTTCATCAGTCACAAAGTGCTGAGTATGCGATAGCTCAGTCGGCTTTGGAAGATCATAAACAGCAGTTGCGAATGCTGAAATTGGATATTCTGAGTAAGTCCCCTGTACCGCTTACTTATAACAATTCCTTTGTCTTGTCTTTCATAATTTTATTTTTCGTTTTCTTGTGCATTGTTTTATGAGTGAGTTTTGGGATTATAATTCGGGGCTGTTGTCTACTGTGTTCTGAAAAGGTTCTATGTTGAGTACCTAAACTACCTTTTGGATGGTACCAGTCTATCTGCGTAACCGAGCGCGAAAGACGTTCGCTGGGAGTAGGTCCACTCGTGGAATGATCTTGACTGTGGTTCTGCAGAGATGCGGCTCAGTTTGCGTTCCGGTCCACTTCTCTACATCCGCTGATTTTGAGTGGAAGTGTAGTAATTTATTACAGGGAAAATTTGTCTACTTTTATTTATACTCTGATGAATAAGTACTGATGTATTATATCCATGTATGACAGTAGATAACCTTACATAAAATTCCTCATACACTGTAAAAGTCTAGGCCATCTGTCGTGAATTGAGCGATTTGCAAAGTCTGACATCGGCCCTGGAGTGATCAATGGGAGTGGATTTACATTTGATGTGATTCTCGATAGAGGTTTTTTCTCATGGAATAGGAATGAGTCAAAGCCTTCACTTACAGCTGGAATGTTCTGGAATCGAAAACCGACTGGCATCTCCTACTTGGATGTATGCCTGGTCCACCGTGAGGGTAGTTCTCCATGGGCCCATCTCTGCTGCGTACAGCCTGGCTCATGCTGTGCACATCTCAAGCATGATCCTCCCTTTCCAATTTTTTTCATGCAACAACAACTGAGTTGAGGGGGGAGGCACACAAACAAACTTTGGTTTATATACAGAGGGGCCAAAAGAGTCACTCCACTTCATATAATTGCGGAATAATTTCAGTTTGTTGAAGTTCAAACTGAACTGAATATCGAAGAAGGTATCTATCAGAAAACTTCACAAATGCCTTCGGCATCGGCGACGTCATAAGATTTTTTCTTGGGAACCTTCCCGCTATTGTTATGAAGGCAACTTTACGACTGCCTTTGTGGCAGAATGCCCGTATTAGTTAGGCTATTAGTGAGGTACAACAATTGCAGCTGTACGGCTGGCGATTTTCTTCCAGCTTGAAGCTGCAAAGACCTTGAAGGTATTTGCATTTCCCGGCCCTCTTGCAATCCGCGCATTGGAATCGATGCCACAATGATTTCTCCGTCTCACTCGTCTCCTCACTATCTCCTTTTCCTTCGTCATGTGAATCTCACCCTCAGCAGTGTACTTTATTCAAGGTAAGCCTACGCAATACTCTGAATTACGTTTGAAAAGGGGATTTTTCTTGGCGTTCCCGTGGTTTCTTTTATTTTCTTCTACGCTGGCTAGCCACAACCATGCCAAATATGCTCAACGTTGGTTCACGAGCCGCCTACATTAATTATACTGCTCCTTGTACTCCATGGTTGGGGCAGAACACCACTTTGGTACGGATCATCTTGATCCCCGTGCTTCACTGACTCCACAGTCCTCTGATCCTTGAAATCGATATATGGCGTCTTTTTCGCATATTCTTACAGATCGGTGGCGCTGACCTTTTGTGTGAACTTTCTATTTAGATGCGAAAGCTGACACCGAGCGACTTAAAATTTCGGAGAATACGTTGAAGGAAGAAAAAGACAAGCTTGCCAAGGAAAAAGACAGTAAGTAGCATCAGTTGCTGAACCTTTTTATTTGCATTTGATTCCTGGTTTATTTCAGAGTGCTCAGTTTCACTGCGTAATGCAGAGCGTGAGAAACAGGACCTCAAAACTGAACTCAGGTTTGTCTTCTGATACATTGTAACGCGTTTTCAGAGCTTGTCCATTTCTTTATCGGTTTGCATCTAACCTCAAGTCTCCAACCGTTTATTGTCCGTGTTGTTCTTTTTTTTTGTTTTTACGAAGTTTTCCTCACTTCTGTATTTCTCATATGAATACCCCCGTGGACAGTGGCCGCTACAGGTGGTCTACCAAACGTAATTGTTCGTGATGTGTTTGTATTTCAGTAAGAAGAACACAGCGTATAACGAGCTTACTGGAAAATTTGTGAGTTAGCCGGTTTATTTATTTCAATTGTGCTTAATACTCCGACTAGCCACAAGTAGTTGATTGTTGATGTGACGATGTAACTAACTTCTTTGTAGAACCAACTTCAAACAGAACTTGAGGAGTACAAAAAGGCTGTTGCAGCTAAAGAGGTTGCTGTAAGTCAACAAAAGGAAACTGCTGGAAAGTAAGTATGAGTTTGAGTTCGAAGTTCTGCCGAAAGCGCTACGCGCATGTGCTCCACCTTTTCACAAGGATCGCACGTTTTGTTCGACATTTTTTATGTTTAAATACTGTATCCACCTTTGGATCCGGGGAATAGTATATCCATTATTAAGAGCAAAATCATTGGAGAGGTAATGCCAACTTTGGGAAAAAAAACAAACAAAAAAGATACAAGAGACACACTCACTGCTATAGTCATTATGTTATGAAATCCCTGGAATGGTGCGTTACCTCCTATTAACTATTCTTTGATAAGTGCGGAGTTTGAGTTTTGTGGAAATGGAACCCGGGACCGTGTGCAGCACCTCTATAGCAAATATGAAAGAAACAACATTTGATCTATTAATTTGCTCCAAATTACATGCATTCATTGATCTTTCACCATTTGTGAGGACTTTTTATTCTTACGTACCTATATGATGAAATTTACATTTATTTCCTAATCACCGAGGTATTTACATTTATTTCCTAATCATGAGGGTAGTGCTTAAAACGGTTCCTGGTTTACTTCATTCCTGAACGTAATTGGATTATGTGACAACGCACCTCTACATTGAATATGATCTTGACTGAATCTAAATACAGATACATTGTGCGCGTTGTCTTCAATAGAAAGCTTTTTTGTTTTGTTCTGTTAGTGTAATAGAATTTTGAAGAAAAAAATAATGTATCTTTACTGTATGCAGCTCTTCCAGTCTGGGGATAGGGGCTCGTCTTAGGTCAAGATGTGCCGCCCATCACTTCAGGAACTATCCTATTAGAGTCCATCGTTGGAACCATGCTCCCGCGCGAGCTTTCCCCTTATCTTGGGAAAAATAATTGGGGATCCATTCCGCGACGGTCTAGGAGGGGGTTATTGCGCCTGTGGATGAAAGCGGAGGTGGTAATTATTCGACTAGTAATAAAGAGAGTAACCGAAACGACCAATGGGCCTCAAATGCATGCAACACCGTAATGTGTAGGTAAAGATTTTTTTCTCATTGCTCGACCATTCCTCCTCACCGTATCGAGGAGAAAGATCGATCGATGAGAGGGCATAATCTCGACTACGTACAGAATGGTTCTGAGAATTCTTGATAGCGTCACTGGCTCTTTTCCTTGCTTGTTGACCAAATACCGCATCCATTTTTACGCTAGTTCGCAACAGCCCACGCATAGCAAAACTTAGACCCACAAAAACGGTCCTGTTCGGCATCATCAAACTTCTGGGCGCGTGCACAACTTGAGCAATGTAGAGGGCAACCAAGTTTCTCGTTTACTGACAATTTTTGCTGTGCGTGGTTATTTTCTTGCCTATTTTTGAGAACTAATTCAGAACTGATGATAATGGTGGGAATCTCAAGGAAACTGGCCCTCGCTTGGATGCAAGCGCCCTGAGCGGTACCCATGGTCAAAGTCAAGGAAATGCCAAAGAAAATCCTGATCACTATGACTATGAGGCAGGTGGCGCCGCTGCAGGACGGAAGCAACGTAGAAATTCCCAGGTGTGCTTATGCTGTGAGTTCTAAAAATTATCTCTCCAAATTGTTAATTTGGTTGATTTAGATAGGTGAAGGAGCAGCTAGGACGATAGAAGGCAAGGAGGTACAACAAGCTCCTGCTCCAGTTCCATTGAATAAAGGAGGTAGGCTGAAAGCAGTTAGCCACTTTTTTCATAGGACAAGTATAATAATGTTTTTTAGAAGATCGCAAAGAAGTAGTCAAAAAGTCTGTTGAAGCTGAACCCGAAAATAAGGAGGAAAGTGAGTTTTTGAAGAATTGCGGTGATTTTTCAACTAGAGTAGTACTCCCTTACTTCTAGATTGTCTCATAGTTAATGAATCACTTTGGCTATTTTGCGGTTATATTTTTTTTTGTTATTTTCGAAGTGCTTCTTGATCCAATTATGCACCTCTGGTATCTGCAAAATATTAGACACTAATGGAAAGGTGGTGCCGGGTAAAGTCTTCCCTTTGAAGTTCCATGGACATCACATGAGTGTAGATGGATTTTAGTTTTTGAGATTGTCTCAATTAGCGTGAAATTTACCCTATGGAAAAGCAATAGAGATATTAGTAGTTGGTCGTTCGTTGGCGCAGAGCTGAAAGAAAAACTGTCAACGCGGGAGTCTACAATTCTTTATGAATTTTGAAGATGAGGTGGGCGACCTCAGAAAAAAATGCAGACTTTTTCTTGCTTTGCTTTCGAATTGAACGCGCCGCCTCCGTCGACGTTTTTCTTCAACAATGACCCGAGTATTATTGGCTGTTGACTTCCAAGCCTTCCTCGTATTCCTCCAATGATTTAGGTTCAAATTTGGAGGAGGATGGGCTTTTACTGTAAGAATTTGCGAATCCTTTAGGCTAGGCTTCTGTCATATGTGGATTTACTAGAGCACTGCACCCAGTCCACATCACCGTTGAATGTGCCGGATGGTCTATCGAAACATGGAAAACAAGCAGGAATATGACAAGGTCAGATCGTGTTTGGAGCTGATTCAGGCCCGAGCGCATGGGGTACAAACTCCATATTGATCTTTACAAGTCTGTGAAGATGACTGAGTGCTGTTATTTCAATACATAGGAAGCGCTCGGGCACACAATGACTAGTCTATCCATATCTATTTTTGATGTCTTTCGTTGAGAAGTGAGATGCTAGTGCGGGGTGGTTTATGTGTGAGTCATCTCTAAATGAGGCCATTCCAGAAATAAAGTGAACCATCGGTGTATGATTGAGGGATTGTGCCATCGCTTATCTTCTAGTTGATCCTCAATGTTGCTTGACGTTTGAAAGATCTTAATCTGTTGTGATGAAGAGGGAAGCTCACAAATAAAGTGCGCGTCAATTGCTTATGCCACCCAAGATGTTTTTTTTTCAATTTTCTGCTTGTTGGAAAATTTCGTAAATCGGCACAGCAACCACCTTTTCCACGCGTGTCCGGAAAGTGGTGTATTTGATTTTGTTAACGCGAGATTTTGATTTGCTGTGTTCTTTGAAGGAAAATGGACCGCGTCATTCGCTTATGCCATCCTAATGTTTCTTCAGAATTCTCTCTTCTTAACGCCATTCAGCTACGGTGTGCTAATTTAAATGAGGAAATCCTCCGCCTATGTAATGCACATAGGTGGTTGGCAGGGCGGTTTACGGACTACTTGCACTTTCGTCTATGGTCCTGCCACGAATGGCGGAGAGCACAGACGATCAGAGAATGGCGCCTGGCTCGGCTCCAAATCCCAAGGAGGGAGGAGAGCCTAGGGAAGAAGGTGAGAGCCTTAGGACTAAGCCTTGTAAGGGGGAGGGAATCCGAGGTGGGTGAGCCAATTGCATTGTGGCAAAAGTTTGAATGTGTGAGATCGCAGTGGTGATGAGCCGCTGATAAGGTGAGAGAGCGCAGACGAAAGCGTCGAGTGAGGCAGCTTAACAAGCGGCCGGGTGCAAGTGTCCGTGCGACCCTCAGCGCATGCGATAATTAATCGTAAATATTAGCTTTTATACTAGACGGTAGCACAATGAAAACACTTTATCGGAGAAACAGCTGTGAGTGCTCTTTTTTTGCGATCGCTGCTGCTGCTTATTATAGAACTCGTCGGGTTGTATCCAGACTGAGCTAGGGAGTTCGACGTGCCCAAGTAACCCTCAGATTCACTTTTTCTGCATCGAATCCGTGGTCAACTTTATTTGTGGTCTCGGTTCCGGCGAAGTTCGAAGCGTTCACGCTCACTAGTTTCTGTTAAGATGGAATATGAACCGTACTCACAATCCGCGTGGTACCATCGCTAATATCGATTGGATTCTCCCTGATAAGGGGATACCGTGACGGCCCGTGCCACCACCTCGATGTCTCGTTGAAGCTACTACTGACCTATTCCATCATTTTCACTCACTTGGGAAGGCCGTTTTTTCTGGACAGAAGTCATATTCCTTCTGTACATAGTATTGCTGCACCTCCAGGCTCGGAGCAAATATTCTAAACTAGTTAGTGTATAAATGCTCAAGTTATACGAAGCGTGAACGCTTCGAGCTTCGCCGGAGCCGAGACCACAAATAAAGTTGACCACGGATTCGATGCGGGAAAAGTGAATTCAAGGGCTACTTGAGCACGTCAATTTCCCCAGTTTTGCCTGGATACACTCCTCGATGAGTTCTATAATAAGCAGCAGGAGCGGTCGCAAAGAAAGCACTCGCGGCTTTCTTCCTGATGGAGCGATTCTCCAACATTTATGTGCATTATATAAGTGGAGGATTTCCTCATTTATATTACATGCACACCGTAGCTGAATAGCGTTAGAGACATGAGAAATTCTGAAGAAACTTTAGGATGGCATAAGCAATTGACGCGGCCCATTTTCTTCAAAAGAACAGAGCAATTCAAATCCACGCGTTAACCAAAATCAAACAACACCATTCTAGTTTTCCGACACGCCGAAAACGATGGTTGCTATGCCGATTTACGAAATTTCCAAACAAAGTCAGAAAACTGAAAAGTCAGTGATGGCATGAGCAATTGACGCACACTGCAGGTTCCAGAAAAATTGAAGTAATAGCGAGGAAGACAGCGTGTAAATGGCTGACTTCACGTAGGCCAATGTGGATGCAACTTCACAAAATTTGTTTCACGCTTTCAACATTCTTATAAGAATTTTTGCAGTAATGAATTTAAAGTGATTCAGTAATTATGGGGCAACCCAATGCAACTCCAACATGTCAACTTTTACGTTGAAACTTCATCACTCATGGGACCCACTAGGAGAATAATGGATACTATTAGATTATTTACATCGTTTTACATACCATTCGACGAAGAATTGCCTGCTCTCCGAAAATATTCACTTCTCTTCTACATTGGATCTAAACTTCTCAAGTTCAGGCTCACGAATTGGGAGGCAATCGACAAAAATTAGTCAAGCCAACAACGAGTTCTAATTATGTTTCCACTAGAGAAATCGATCGATGAAGTATTATGCAATGCACTTGCATAGTCATTACCTCTTCTATACAGTTCGTTATTAGATTGTCACAAACAGTCGGGAGACGGTCAATTCAATCGTCGGCTAATGAGGTCACGCCGCTCACGCGGCGGGCAGCGTCGCGCGCGGCAAATGGTGCGGCGATTTTTGTATGGGCCTTGGCTTAACGGTCCTTGTCCATAAGTTGCTGGTGGGGTTAGAGAACTGATAAGACCAAAGTTCCAGACATCAGTGAGCCAACAAGCGTCACCTTAAGATCTCCGCAGTTATTTAAGCCTCACTGTACAGAGCTTGTGCCATGTAAAGGTTGTCCTTTTGAACATAATTTGACTTCTTTATTAATCAACTGCCTGAATTGTTATCAGAGAGCGATAATCTGGTCAATAGAAGTACGGGCCCAGCCTACGGGCCACTGTGCGTACGCAGCACATATAAATATAGAATAAATATAGAGAGAGGTACGCCGCGGATGTAACCGTCTGAGATATTCTGCACAACATAACAAAGTGAACCTTAGATGCGTGTAAAAGGAACTGGTGAGTTATGAAGAAAAAAAATCCTACAATACAAATGACGAACTACTTCCTCACTCGGGGGCGACGTGGCTTGGGCTCCGCTGTCTATCCTCACCCATGTCCCGGATCCATCTTCAAGACGTACGGCGAACCGAGACGCGAAGTGGTGACAGCGAAGTACGAAGCGATGACGAACGACTGCACTCGGATGGCGGCAACACGTAGACTGACTGCAGGCCAGATCTCCGGCACTCTGCTCCTCTAGCGCTCTTCGCGAAGATTCCATAGCACGGGCGCGCTAGGACCCGCACACACCCTACCATGAGCGACCCTTTGGATAATGGCGTACGGAAGTCACGACACCCTCCCACCGACTAACTAAGCACGCAAAGGGAAACGCCGGTGAAGAAAGCAGGAAAAGCAAAGACAGAAAAATCGACACCAAACGTCGAGCACAGTCTTCGGACTATTTGAGCTTGATACTTCAAACCGCGCCAATGAGCTGGAGCTGTATTCGTCTGCGCTCCTCTTGTCAAGACAGCCGGCTCACGGAAACCTACCACACCGTAGTTGCCTCACCGAAGCCGGACTACCGTTCACCTCCAAAGCTCAGCGCGGTCAAAATTAATTACACTCCCAGGCGTTTTGAAAGCCGACTCAGTCGCGTCCAGCCTTCAACGCGTAATCATTTGGTCCAGTCTTTGCGCTGCAGGGAACCAGGAGAAAAATTCAAGTAGTTACGTAAGGCCAAGCAGAGAGCAGAACGAAACAGCACAGCGTAATCAGAGCTGCGTAGGCCGACGCTCTGTACGCCTGTTTTACCACTTCCTTTTCCGAAATGAACAGCTGAGCTACTAGCAAGCCAAGTGACAGGATTTCCAACTACCTTGTCGCAGCGCCTTCTTCGAGCCACGTGAAGCTGTTTCTAACACATGAGGCTGGATATCAGCAAAGCATGCCGGGAAAGCAGCTTATCCACTTATCAACTTCTATCAGGTGCGGCGGTCGCCACGTAAAATACATAGGGCACACGCCTAAGCAGTTTCGAGATGATGGACTGTACAGCTGCAATTTCAGTGCTGCCCTTTCTTCCCATAATTCAGCAGACATGGAACTCTCGATAAGCGAACTCTTTCGCTGAAAATCGTTGGGGGAGGGGGGGGGGTTCTGCATGTTAACAAGAGATATTTTAGGGATAAGAACTTTGATAATACACAGTGGAGTCACTCAAAGTACACTTTTAGATGAGAATCGGCTGAACCATTCTTGAATGATAC